ATTCAAATGGGGAGGATATAGTGCCATGCAAAGATCAGTAAGACAATCCCCCTTCTTCTTAACCCCTTCTTAAACAAACTAGCTAAAGGAAATTGGGGAGGAATCCCTCAGTCTATTTAGGCTAACTTCTCATTGAGAGCTGGAGACTTGTGCAGTCAGCGATGAAACCCAACAAATAGCCAAGTCAGGTAAGCCTCACATAAGTAAACATGAAATGGTGAATATTCTAGGGACCTCATGAAGGCTTCTTCTAAAACAGGAATGGGCAAACTTTGGCCCTCCAGGCAGGCCTGTAGCCAGGATTTCGTTTTTTTTTGGGGGGGGGGGCTAAAAAAATTTCAGGGGGGGTTTCGGGGGGCTGAGTTTCGGGGGGGGGGCTGAGTCTGAGTGAAAGAGGGTCTAGCCTAACAAACCTTTTGTATCATTACCCCAATACCCCCATGCATATGGGATATATTGAGTATGGTGATCAGATCATGATATGAATAAACATAACAGTTTAAATAATGCACCAGTAAGGCCTTTTCGCGAACCACCATGAGAATTTGGGGGGGGGTGAAGCCCCTCAAGCCCCCCCCCCCCCCCCCCCCCCCGGCTACATGCCTGCCTCCAGGTGCTTTGGTCTCCAGCTCCCTACAATTCCTATCAGCCTATCTGGAGAGCCAAAGTTTGTTCACACTTGTTCTAAAATGCATTCCCCCTCTCCTGCCTCCACGATTTATGACTTTGATCCTACTAGCCAAAATCTATGCTTTTATCAAACATGCCACTGGAGGGAGCTGATGAGTCAGGCTGATCTGCTCTCACTGTTTCTCTCCATTGCAGTTCATGCATGCTCAATAAGGCATTCATGGGGAAGCAGAACTTTTTTCTATTGCTTATTGTGGGCTGGCAGGCGCACATCGTCCCAATAGATTCAGCTAGAGAGCAGAACCCCACATATTCCCAGTTCAGACTTAGATTATCCCATTTTGTACGGCAGAGTAGCTGCTACAACCCGACACCAAAAGTCTGCTCATCTCCCCTGTGTGGATGCTTCTAAAAACCTCTCAGCAAAATAGGAGATATGAAGAATTGGACACTGTTGCATAGAAACCCTTTGAAAAAGAAGCGTCACTTTCAGGGAGATTGTAAATGGAGATAATATATGTTGGAAACAATGGAAAATGTACCATTTCATCTCTGGATCTCAGGAAATCTGAAAAAAAATTTTTTTAATTAGATTTAGCTTTTTCTCCAATCAATTGCAAGATGTTGGTGTTGAGTTTCAATGGCTTCAAGTAATTTGGCTCGCAGCAGAGATAGATTACCTTTCTGTTTTTGACCCAAAAAAGGGGAAGTCTGAAGGTTATAACAAGAGTCATGGGGCAGCAACCTGCAGTTCTAGGACAGAAGTTGCACTTCCCAGTCTACTTTTGAGAAGTCGATGGTTTTGAAAGCTGGGCAGTGAAAAAAGCTGATAGAAAGAGAACAAGCACATTTCAAATGAATTACTGGAGAACAGTTCTTCATGGCAAGCTAAAAAGACAAAGCAATGAGCCCTGAGCTGAATTATTGCTTTGTTTTCCAACAGACCTCACAACCTCTGAGGACGTCTGCCATAGATGCAGGTGAAACATCAGGAGAGAATGTTTCTAGAACATGGCCATATAGCCTGAAAAAACTATAACAACCCAGTGAGGCTGAGCTCTCTCTAGAAGTCAAGATGACTGGACTGAGACTGCTGTACTTTGGAAATATGCAGGTGGGTCAAAAAGTAATGCCCCCAGCACTCTAACTTTTATTTCTCTCACAGCTATGAATGATAGGATAGAGGTAACCTTACTCTACTGGTATAGTCTTTTCTTTTTCTGATTGACTGATTAGAACAATGAAACTGAAGCTAAAAAAAAGAGCCATCATTGAATTTCTGACAAAAGAAGGTTGTGCACGTAAGGAAATCCATAATTGCTTAAGGAATGTTTATGGAGACGCCATCAGCAATGTGTGACCTCTGAAAGACAACCTACATGGTTTCATATTCAATGACTTGAATGATATTAAAAACAGCTTTAAAATCATGGGTCACAAAGCAAAACTCTGAATTTTTCCAAAATAGTTTTGATGTCTGGGTTAAATGATGGCACAAATGTGTACAAATTGAGAGTGACTATGTTGAATCATATTTTTGTTTTGTTTTTGTTTTGTTCAGGCTATGATCTGTAACAATTTCTGCTGTTATATGTTCATTCGTAACGTTTTTTATGATACAGGAGGCAAAACGTTTTGACCCACCTGCGTATCATGCGAAGACATGTCTTACCAGAAAAGACAACAATACTTGGGAAGGTGGAAGGCAGTAAGAAAAGTGGAAGGCCTTGTTACAGATGGAGAGGCTCAATCAAGAACGCTACAGCCTTAAATTTGCAAGGCCTGACCAGTGTGGTCGGAAATCATTATAGGGTTGCCATAACTCAAAGTTAACAGTAAACATTATAAACAAAAGGTGTGGAGGTGACTGACAGGGTGAATGATCTCTCGTCCACATATTACTGTTTTCCTCCTTTGCTATGCTTGGCCATTTCAGTCCTGATATCTGGTGAAGCCAACATGGACTGTCCAAAGTACTGAATCCTATTCCCCAAACAGCTTCAGAACTTGAGAATTTAAACTAGACCCCAGAACAACTGCACTGCCTATTGATTTGAAAGCTACATCTATATAAAAATGTTAGAAAATAGCAGTATCAGGGGGCACTCCCCTCATTTCAGACATATCTGCAGGATGTGTTTGCCTCCTGATACTGAGAACAGCAGGCACATATTTTCAACCCAGCAACAAAATCTTCTCATCTTCTCTGCTGATAATACCAAGCATGTAATTTCCTTTTTGCTAATCTTTGTACTTCTTGAACATTTTGTTAAATTGCGTACAAGTGGTAATAGTACATTGGAAGGCACATGATAGATTCCTTGCCTAAGCATTCTACAGGGCATTCCATAAAGATGGATCCCGTTTGAAATCACAATACTTCTGTAATCATGAACTACACATGAATGAAACCCTCGCCCCCACAAAAGGGTGAGCCTTGGAGTTTCAGATTATTACTGATAGACGCCTCTCCCAGCATACAAACAGACCCAGTCATTTGCAAGATGGGGACCCCAAAACAGAAGGCCTAAGGAGATACTCTCCATTAGCAGTGTTATTTTTTAGATGTGTTATCTGCTCAAAGGGGGCCCCTGGTGGGGCAGCAGGTTAAACCATGGAGCTACTGAACTTGCTGACTGAAAGGTCAGCAGTTTGAATCTGAAGAGTGGGGTGAGCTCTGCCAACCTAGCAGTTTGAAAATATGCAAATGTGAGTAGATCAATAGGTACCGCTTCTGTGGGAAGGTAATGTCGCTCCATGCAGTCATGACCTTGAAGGTGTCTATGGACAACGCTGGCTCATCAGCTTAGAAAGGAAGATGAGCACCACCCCCCAGAGTCGGACATGACTAGACTTAATGTCAGGGAAACCTTTACCTTTACCTGCTCAAAATAGTTAGTAAAACTTGATAACTCATTAAACCATTTGCAACTCTTTGTGTTGTGATAACGTAAATAAAATATAAATAACTTTATTTATATTCTGCCCTTTCTCCCTGAGGGGACTCATGTTGCCATGGCGAAACACACGGCTTTGAAACTGGGCACATCATTTTGAAAAACTATGTTTGCTCTTTTCTCCTTTGCCTCCAAACAAAACAACCTGTTGGGTTGCTGTAAGTTTTCCAGGCTGAATGGCCATGTTCCAGAAGCATTGTCTCCTGATGTTTCACCTCCATCTATAGAAACTATGAGGTCTGTTGAAAACTAGGAAAGTGGGGTTTATATATCTGTGGCATGATGTCCAGGGTGGGAGAAAGAACCCTTGTCTGTTGGGGGTAGGTGCAAATGTTGCAATTGGCCACCTTGATTAGCATCGAATGGCCTTGCAGTTTCAAGGTCTGGCTACTTCCTGCCTGGGTGAATCCTTTGTTGGGAGGTGATTAGCTTGCCCTGATCTGGAATTCCTCTGTTTTTGCATGTTGCTCTTTATTTACTGTCCTAATTTTAGAGTTTTGAAATACTGGTAGCCAGATTTTGTTCATTTTCATGGTTTTCTCCTTTCTGTTGAAATTGTCCACATGTTTGTGGATTTCACTGGTTTCTCTGAGTAGCCTGACATGGTGGTTGTTGGAGTGGTCCAGCATTTTTGTGTTCTCAAATAATATGCTGTGCCCAGGTTGGTTCATCAGGTGCTCTGCTATGGCTGACTTCTCTGGATGAAGTAGTCTGCAGTGCCTTTCATGTTCCTTGATTCGTGTTTGGGCAATGCTGCGTTTGGTGTGTAGGCTTGTCCACAGCTGCATTCATCAACAACCAGTTGAAGGTGTTTGAAAGAGCGGCATGAAACGGCTTCTGTGGAAGAACGGGAAAGCTACCCAAGGCAAGGTACCCAAGCGTCTCCCTCCCTCCCTCCCTCCCTCTTTAATGCAAGCACAGCCTTCAAGCTCCCTCCCCCCTCCTTGTGGGTCCCACCAAGTTCAATGGGAACTTGATAGGACTCCCCCCACTTCCTCCCTCCTTCACGGTGCCGGGTTCCTTCTGTCCTTTCTGCGCGCGGAAGGAGGGAGGGAGGGAGGGGCGGCCCTGGCCTTCACCTGGCCGGCGGGGGGGGGGGGGGGGGGGGGCGGGGGGGGGGCGGGAGGCGCGCGCTTTCTGGGCGCGACCATGCTGTGTTGTCGAGAGGGGGGGTGGGGGAGGGCAGACAAGGAAAGAGCCCCGGCGTTCCCTCCCAATCTTCAGAACTGAGGAGAAGTGCCAGAGCTCAACGCTCAGGTGTGCTTGGAGGGCGGGGGTGGTGGGCTACCAATCCCGGGGCCCTCCTTCGTGGGTGGCCTCGGCCGCTCTCTCCTCCTCCCCCTCCTCCCCCTCCCTTGCGCGCGCTCTCCCCCCCCCCCCCCCGGGAGCCGCTGCGTCTCTCTCTCCCTCTCTCTCTCTCTAGCGGAGGAGGCTGCTGCAGCAGAAGCAGCAGGTGGCTGCCTCTTCCTTCCTCGGGCGCTCCTTCTGCCCTTGCCTCCTCTCTCTCCGCGTGTGTGTGTGTCCCTTTCCACTGCGGAAGGGGCCATGGGCGAGGCGTCCCGCTCGAGCCAGGGCGCCGAGGTGGGCTTCTTGCGGGAGCAGCATGGGTGCGCGCCACACTCGGAGGAGGAGGAGGAGGAGCGGGGTCCTGAGAAGTCCCGGGTCGAGGCCGTGGCTGTGGTCCGGGAGCACGAAGGGGCGGTGATGAAGAAGAGGTTCCGCCAGGCGGGCGCTGAGGGGACACCTGGGGAAGGCGACGTGGCTCAAGGAGAGGAGGAAGAGGAAGGCGATGGGGAAGGGAGCGAGGAGGAAGAGGAAGAGGAGGAGGAGGAGGAGGAGGAAGGGAACCCCCCGCTGCTGGTGTCCCAGCTGAAGAGCCTCTTCCAAGGGGAGCAAGGGGAGGCGCCCAAGCTGCCCCAGGCCCGCCACGCGCCGCGGGGCCACCCGGAGAAGCCCTGCATGCTGCCCGTGCGCTGCCCGCCGCGCGCCCCCAAAAGCCCCCGCCTCGGCCGGCCCTCGCCCTCGCCCTCGCCCTCGCCCTGGCCGCCTTCGCCCGCCCCCTCGCGGAGGAGCTTGCCCCGCTCGGCCGAGGCGGCGGAGGCGCTGGACTCCACCGAGCACGAGTGGCTGGTGCGCGCCACCTCCGGGGAGTGGTCCCCGCAGCTCCACGGCCTGCTGCTCCGCGACCGCAGCCTGGCCAACAAAGGCGACTTCCTGACCGGCTTCACCGTCCTGCACTGGGCGGCCAAGAGCGGGAGCTGCGAGACGCTGCGCAAAGTGCTGGAGGTGGCCGGGAAGGAGGGCGGGCGCGTGGACGTGGACGCCCGCTCCCACGGGGGCTACACGCCGCTCCACATCGCGGCCCTCCACGGGCGGGACGAGGCCGTGGCGCTGCTGGTGCGCGAGGGCGGCGCCCAGGTGGGCCTGCGCGACTACAGCGGGAGGAGGCCCTTCCAGTACCTGCGCGAGGGCGCCTCCTTCGCCGCCCGGCACCTCCTCCGAGACCCCGCCCTCCACGCCCGCGCCCACCCCCACGCCCACGCCCACGCGCCGGCCCTCAAGAAGAGCCCCAAAGTAGCCGCCTCCATCCTCAGCTCCACCAGCACCGTCCTGGGACTCTTGTCCGACGACACCGCCTTCTACGAGCTCACCAAAGGCCTCAAGAAGCCCGCCTCCTTCAACAAGTTCCTCACGGCAGCCACCGCCCCCAGGAGGAAGCTCAAGGCCAGGGCCACCTTCTCCTCCTACTCCTCCTTGGCCGAGGCCGTGGCCGAGGAGGAGCCCGACGACAGCACGCCCGCCACCACCACCAAGCGCAGGCCCATGTCCGAGTTGTTTTTCGGACACTAGCCTTGCTCCTGTCCCGTGGGAAGACTCACTAGCTCATTAGCTGATCTAATCCAAGCTTTGAAAGGAGATGCTCATGGAGAGGGTCCTTCCAGGTGCATTGGTCTTCATCTCCCAGCATACCCTCCAGGTGTTTTGGACTCCAACAGGTGCATTGGACTTCAACTTCCACCATTCCCTCCAGGTGTTTTGGACTCCAACTCCCAGCATTCCTAACAGCCTCAGGCCCCTTCCTTTTCCCCCTCAGCCACTTAAGCGGCTGAGGGGGAAAAGGAAAGGGCCTGAGGCTGTTAGGAATGCTGGGAGTTGGAGTCTAAAACACCTGAAGCCTCCAAGTTGACTCATACCTGGTGTATCTGAACATTATATTTGGCCATAGCATGCCAGAATATGAACTTTTATCTCACAGCCTTTTCCATCAGAAAAGTTACTCCCGATTCAACTAATTTGAAGTTTAATAAAAGTATCAGATTGCTTGCTTGATGTTAGTGAGTCAACTTTAATGGTTTGCTTATTCTGCATGAGCTTCCATTCGGTGGAAATTCATGGAGTGAGCAAAACTGCACACCCGTTGACTCATACTTGGGAGTAAATCAAGCCAAAATAAAATAACGTGTTTCTAGATACACTGGGATTAGACAAGGCTGTATATATATCTGGGATAAGACCGGGGTATGTATAGAAAGCAACACATTTGGAAACAGAAACATCACGTTTAATTCATTGCACAAAGCTTTCTCAAGGACAGGACTTAAAGTCTTTGAAAAAGTCTGAATTGTGAACAAAAAGTATAACCACCTAGCTGCTGAACTTGCTGATGAAAAGGCTGGTGGTTCACATCCAGGGAGCAGGGTGAGCTCCTGCTGTTAGCCCCAGCTTCTGTAGTTCAAAAACATGCAAGTGTGAGAAGATCAGTAGGTACCACTTCTGTGGGAAGGGAACATCATGCCATGTAGTCATGCCGGCCACATGACCATGGAGGTGTCTACGGACAATGACAGCTCTTTGGCTTAGAAATGGAAATAAGCACCATCACCCAGAGTCGGACACAACTGGACTTAATGTCATTTACCTTTAACTTTACCATAACTTTCTAGCCAGCTCTTCTAAAGCAGATGAGTTTGTTAACGAAAAGAAGAACTTCCCTCCCCAATGAAGTGCCATTTTCTATGTTAGAAATGTGGGGCCCTTTGTTATAGTGTATGCACGATACCATTTTATGACAAGCACCTTCTCAGAACATCTATGATTCCTGTGGTTCAAAGGAGAAAATTAAGAAACTATGGAAATGTATATTCTATTTTTAAAGTGGACGCAAGAAATGTAAAGTGCTGCTTTTGTATTAAAGTTTTAGGTGCATTTGAAGAGGGAAGAAAGATTTCAAGATTTAACTTTTAAACAAATAATCTTTATATGCCACCTACCTAGTAGTGTATCTACCTCAATGCTGTCTTTATTTGGCCAACTCATTTAGTAGGAAATCTATACAATGCTTACTGTATGTTTGCACAGTGCTGTGCTGTTCTGAATGTAGTGACAGCTTGACAAAGTGTGACAAAAAACCTCTGATCTTCTTTGGAATTGTTTTTGAATAGTGTAGTAGCAGGAGGAAATTGATTTGAGGAACATAATAATGGAAAAAACCAACAACATTGAATGAACATGCGCATGTTTTGCTATATTTGCAAGAAACTGGGTCCCTGTGCTGCAAAGATGTAAAACAAGGCTCCAGCAAAAGTGTTCAGTATCCATTAGGAATGCCCAGTGTGCAGTGTGGGTCTGATTTGCATTCAGGTCTTTGGTCCATTTATTTCAATTTGCCTCCATCCCATTGAACAGTGGTTCCTTTGCTAGCTTTTCTCCATAATATCAGCCCTATATTGGATATGAACGTTGCACATCTTCACAGTGCTGCTTCCTGCAGATGCAAGTCCACTTACAATGCTCCAATAGGATTCCAGCCCACATGTATAACCTTGCTGGATGAGCTTATAAAACCGAGATAGGCTATATATAGTCTGATCCATATACAATCTATTTCACCCAAGAAAATATTGGTTGGGATGACAACAGAAGTGGCTCTGCTGGTGCCATTCTGTTTCCTTCCGCTGCCTTACTAAGCCCTGGGCATTCTTTGTACATTTGCTTATACAATACTTCCTCGGCTACAACAAAATGACTTGCCATGTTAGAAATCTCATGAAAATAGTTTTCTTGTCAATAATTTAATTTCAGCAGTCATATACTACTGGATAGTTCTGAAATTGTTTTCAAGGTCAAGTTCTTTTACTGCTTAATGTAAGTACTTGGTTTTTTTCCTCTTTGACTATGTGTGTGCATGCATGCATAATAGTCTTCAATAAAGCATTTCAACAAGCTGTAGTCCTAAATCTGTTCCAGAAGTGGAGACGGGATAATTATTTTCTTTGCAAGCATGCTTACAATACAGGATAAGAGTTATAAGTGGACCGGATTCCACGTTATGCTACTGAAATTTAAATCAGCCTCATCCACTAAGAAACAGAAGACAGGACTCAAAATATATCAGCAATAAGGACAGAAGAGCAATTAGTAGTTAGAGCATTTGGGACTAGATTCAGTCATGAAACTCATTGGCTGATCTTCGGTTGGAACAACAGAGTCTCTCTGAAGATACAGTGATGAAGATGTATATGTCTTTTGGAGGAAAGGAATCTGGAAATTCCAATAGTCTTACAATGCAAAACATGCTTTCTTTCTTTCAAACTCCTCAGCATCCCAAACCAGAATATGGGGCAGAAATATGACCCATTGCTTGGATCATGTGATACTTTGTTCTTTACTACAGTACAGTACTTAGTGAGACAACACCCTTGTAAGTATAAAAGTAACTTTAAAAGTTATATTTATGTCATAGAAGGATTCAAAGACATGGCCATGTTAGTCTGGGTCAATATGCAAAAGAAATCTTGTAACACCTTTGAGACTAACTGGAAAAAAAAGTTGGCAGTGTAAGGTTTTTGTAGACTTAGATCTACTTCACAAAAGCAGAAAATGTATCCCTAATTGTCTTACTGTTGTAACGCAGGCCATCCTACACTGGCCAGTTAATCTGGGATTAGAAATACCCCAGACTTGTCCCAGAGGTGACCACATATACCATCACGATCTCTTGGCAGCAACGAGTCAGAGTACAGACAATTCAAAATGGGCTGATCACCTCTGCTGAACCATCGCCTTACCATCTATGTCACTGTCACTGCTCCCAGATGGCCACAGATCCCCAGGCTGTTGGGGGCACCCTGTTTTGACATCAGCAGAGGTGCTCACATGACCAGGAAGAAGGATTGGACCAATGTCCCCATCTCCTTTCTGTTACATGAGCTCCCACAGTGGCCAGAAGCATACATTGGGCACTGTGACTAATAGGAGTGATGACAACTGTGACATGAGCATAATTCTATGGGCACAGCCCACTGTCCACATGGGGCAGTGCACCATGAGATCAGCGGACAGGTCCAAATTTGACCCAGTAATTCTGTTCACATTGTCCTAATGCTGTAGCATTGCTCTGGAGCAAGCATGGGCAAACTTGAGCTCTCCAGGTGTTTTGGACTTCAACTCCCAAAATTCCTAACAGACTCAGGCCCTTTCCTTTTCCTGCTTAAGTGGCTGAGGGGAAAAAGGATAGGGCCTGAGGCTGTTAGGAATTGTGGGAGTTGAAGTCCAAAACACCAGGAGGGCCCAAGTTTGCCCATGCCTGATCTAGAATTTCAGGCAAATTCTGGACCATCCCCTGATTTTTCTTAACATGGAAATACACTGAATGAACTCAGTTTACCCTGCAATATCTATTAGACATACAGGAACATTATGAGTACAGCCAGGATCAAATTCACAGTGTGTATGGGTTATTTTGCCCATGTAAATGAGCTGTCAGTTGACCTCCATATTGATCTTAGTTACAAGCTCTGTCCTCTGATCCAGTTCAAATCAAAGAATGTCAATATTCTGCTTTGATAACCTGGATTATCTTGCAGTATAGAAGGGGCCTAAGATGAGATGCTGTGTTTGCTACAGCTCAGCTTTCAAGTAAGCTTTGGCATTATCTCAAAGTACTTTATTCACTTCACTTTATGGATTTTGGTCATATCAAGGTGTGGTTCCTTGCAAAAGCAACAGAAGATTTATTTCCATTTAAACTTTGCAGCTTTATAAGTCATAGACTGTCATGAAGAGTTAAAACATGTCCACTTTCCTGTTCAGCTTTGAGTCACCAACGTAGTGAAATCAGCTGTAATTGATTGCCTATTTTTCATCACAACTGATATTTATAGATGTTACATTATCTGAGTTGGATTTAAATTACAGATTGAATAACCAATAATTTCCATTAAGCTTGAAGGATCCGATCAGAAAAAGAAAATTATACATAAGTACTGTGATGAGAAGCTAAAAATAAACTTTTATTTCAAGGTTGTTGTGCTTGGGCTTAAATTACAATAGTAACAGCCTCATAAATCCCTATCATATCTTTTTGAAGAAAGATAATATATTGTCCTTCAGTTAATACCCAGAGAAAATAGCCTTTTCCCACCTAATTACACATGTAATGAGTATTTTGATCACATTTGTTTGGTATGATTTTTAAACAATTTTTCAGTACACATAAGTTAGCTAGAGTGTAATAGCAGGTTTAGAATGGTAAAAGGTAATCTTGACCGTTCGCATAGTCCAAGAGAGACTAAAATGTAGGCAGCTGATCTGATCCAAATCAACAAATACATTCAAAGAGTTTTAATACTTTGGACTACAACAGGGAAAACTCATAACTTGAAATAAGGCGTGTCAATGGCAAGTCAAGTTTCCTGTATCTGAAGAGGTGTGTGTCACACACTAAAAATAGCGATAGCAACTTTATTGCAAGCAGTTTAGTACTAGAAGTACATGTCTCTCTTACATATTTCATTCAGCCAGTGCATTTTCATGTGGTGTTACTTGAACATCAACCATGATCGTTCCTCACCACTGAAATGCCCATCCTAA